GAATTAAAGAATGTTAGGGATGGAATTATTAATAAATACATAGAAAACTAAGCATCAGACATACAAACAAAAACAATTATTAATTCCAGAAAACAAAAATTGTGCCTAAACGGAATCATATAGCTCAGGTGTAACCAAAGTACATTTTCACAATAATATACTATAAATACTAAATTTGGATCTAATCACGATTATGGTGTAAAGAGGGAATGTTGGGAGTGTGTTTCTAGTGTGAATATGGGGTAAAGGGAGCTAAACTGTCATCTTCCATAGTAGGAAGTCAGTTAATAATAAAGCTTAAAATAGAAAAATGGCAAATAATTGTATAAGCCTGTTACTTAGAATTAAAGAAAACAGAAATTGAAACACACACACACACACACACACACACATACACAGCTAGAAAAGAAAAAAGGTAGTTGTCTCTCACAAATGGAAAACGAGGTAGGATGGGAAAAGGGCTGCTATTTTCTGTAATAACTTTAATTAAACTCTGATTTTTTAAATTATAGGCATACATATCTTGATAAAAACTAAAACTTAAAAGGATGAGACATCATATCATACTTGAGACTGTGATGCTGGTGAAATCAACATCAGGTACTTTGACAATCCCCATCCCACCCCCTTAACAACCACCACATGCACACACACCCTGGCCTCTGCCTGGTCACCTATATGCCCCCAAAGCTCTCTGAACCACAGTCAGGGCAGGACGAAGTCAGGGATAGAGGGGGCTAGACTGAGTGGACCATAAGCACAGATAGTTCATAAAAGAATAGCAATGTATTCAATGATATATACATTAAAATTATACCATGACAAAGTGGGATTACCCCAGGGCTGCAAACAAGTATTGCCTCATATAAGGGGTTCTATTAATATGCTACACCACATCAAGACACTAAGCAGAAAAAGCGTCTTATAATTTTAATGCATACTTGACAGGTATTTTATAGAAATCAACAACGATTCCTAATAAAAATTTAAGAACTAGAATTAAAAAGAATTCCTGTTAACAGCATAGAGCATCCATATTTAAATTAGCAATAATTCCTCTATATTCAGAATATACAAAGATGCCTACTATCATTGTTGTCATTGAAATCATTAATAAAAATATTATTAACATTGTCTGGAAAGTTTTTAAAAACAACAACAAAAAAGATAAAGATAGCACAAGGGAAATAAATACTGAAAAAGAAGACACAAAAATATCTCCTGTATATGATGTGATTACATACCTGGAGAGCTAAATCCGCCAAAATGATTCAAATATAAAAATATCTAGTGATCCTGTTAAACTGTAAATCAGATGTCTGTTTCATGCCCTCTCAACTTAGTGGCTTGCCATCTCCCTCAGATTAAATCCAGTGTCCTTGGCCCCATACCATCTGGTAACAACCTTGTTTTCTCCAATTCTCCACCTCTTCTGCTTCACTCCAAACACATGGCTTTCCCTGTTTCTCAGTGATATGGTTAGGCTTTGTGTCCCCACCCAAATCTCATCTTGAATTTAATTCCCATAATCCACACAAGTCAAGGGAGAGACCAGGCAGAGGTAACTGGATCATGGGGATAGTTTCCCCCATGTTGTTCTCATGACAGTGAGTTCCCATGAGATCTGAGGTCTGCTGGTTTTATAAGTGTTTGATAGTTCTTCCTGCATTCATTCTCTCACTGCTGCCCTGTGAAGAGGTGCTGATATGGTTTGGCTGTGTCCTCACCCAAATCTCATCTTGAATTGTAACAATCCCCAAGTGTCGAGGGTAGGGCCAGGTGGAGATAATTGAATCATGGGGGAGGTTCCCTTGTACTGTTCTTGTGGTAGTGAGTAAGTCTCAGGAAATTTTATGGTTTTATAAATAGGAGTTCCCCTGCACAAGCTCTCTTGCCTGCCACCATGTAAGACGTGACTTTGCTCCTCCTTCACCTTCTGCCATGATTCTGAGACCTCCCCAGCCATGTGGAACTGAGTCCATTAAACCTCTTCTTTTATAAATTACCCAGTCTCAGCTATGTCTTTATTTGCAGCCATGCAAACTCCGAGTCAATTAAACCTCTCTTCTCTACAAATTACCCAGTCTCAGGCAGTTCTTTATAGCAGTGTGAGAACAAACTAATACACTCAGCATGCCACATGTTTCCATCTCAGGGCCTTTGCGCTTTCTGTTCCCTCTGTCATCTCATCCAGGTCTGCTCGAATGATACCTTTTGATATTGGCCCTCCCTGTCTTCCCTATCGCAAATGTCACTTTGTCAGTGGCCTTTCCTGAACACTAAATCTTTTCCTGGTCATTGTTTGTCCTCTGCTATGCTTTATCTTTTTCTTTATATGATTTATTGCTACCTTGTATATTAGTTATATTTTTGCTTATTGTCTCTCTTCTCATTAAAATGTAACCTCCAAGAAGATGAAAATTTTAGATTCTCAGAACCTAGAAGACTATCTGCCCCACAAAAGGTACCTGGTAACTCGATGATGAATAAATGATTAAATGAAAGGCATTTAAAACACTCAAAAGATACATAAAAGAATTACTCTCTCTTCTTCAGAAAAATAAGAAGTACTCACAGATTGAGATTGACAATTTCCATACATAATTTATATTATGTATGGAAATTAAAATTAAATTAAAAATTAAAAAGGACAACAAAAGTATTTGAATAAAACAAAAATGATTAATAGTTATCACCTACAAAGAGTGCATTTAAATTTATAAAAACACCAAGACCATAATAGATAAACAGATAATTCATAGAAAATTATATACAATATAAACAAATACATGGAGAAATAGTAATCTTCACTAGTAAACAAAGGAACGTAAATTAAAGCCAGTTGAAATACTGTTTTATCTGTCAAATTAGAAAAAAAAGTTTTTGCTAACTGCTGTTGAAGTGCAGAAAAAGCTAGCAGATTCATTCCAGAGTGATGGCACTGTATTAAATAATATTTTTGCAAAGCAATTCAGCAATATAGAGAAAGAGCCATATACATGTCTGTGTCCTTTACTAGTAATGCCTCTATTAGGAATTATTCCTATGGAAATTCAACAGCAGCAAAAAGCTATTTGCAAGAAGATGCTCACTGCAGTGTTATCTATAAAAGCCCCAAACTGAAAACACATAAATGGCTAACATTAAGGGGAATGGTTTAATAAATTACAGTACCTCTGCACAATGGAATATTATGTGGCCATTAAAATGATAATTATGCAGAAACATGAAAAATGTTTATGATCCACTGGTCATTGAAAACAAGCAGAATACAAAATAGTAGGCATATACCACAGATAACACTCCCAGCATGCATTACATTTAGAAGAGATAATATGTAAAAATAATATAATAGTTGTATTGGGGTTAGTGGAATTTTATAGGTGACATAAGAAATATTATTTTTTAAACGTTCTCTTTAAATTTTCACACAGAAGCTCTTGTAATTTCTAACAGGTTAGATTCTGAAAGGCTCTTCCTATGTCTGAAGTAATACTGCACCAACTATCAATTTGTACATGGCCCTGTAAAACTTTATCATCTTTACTTTTATTTACACTACAATAGCAAGACTCTTCTTACCACCACTTTCAACACTCCCTCTGTGGAGTTTAAAGGCAATGCAGAAACATGTTGAACAAAGGAGGAAGCAAACAAAATAAGATGGAACACTAAGGCTGGAGCGAAAATGACCCTGGAAACCACTCCAGTCACCTGTCCATGGCTGGCAGAGCTAATGTGTTTTTGCCTTGGCTGGAAGTTTTGCTTATATGTCTGAAAGCTGTTAGGTGAAGAGGAGTCTCCACTTTGTCCATACCAGAATACATGGTCTAGAAACACAGCTGGGACTTGAGTCAGCCACCCTCTAAAACCCAGGCATAAGCCCAAATGGATTTCCCCAGTGACATGTGTGGGGGTCAAGTGGTTCCACTGATTCAGAATCCCCCACATCTCTGAAAACAAGCACAGCTTCATAGCATAGAATGGGGTTGGGGGTCCAGTCTTCCCAGAATATGTTCCTCCCTATCATCCCCTTGGGGAACAGATTCACCCATCTTCCTTGTGATACCTTCCTGATCTTTCTGCTACATTCTAGCTGGGAGACTTTGAACAAGTTAAGCTCTCTGTGCCTTACTTTCCTCCACTGTAGAAAAGGGGTAAGAAAAGCCCCTACCTAACAGCATTATGTGAGCATTAGTGAGTTAATCTCTCTCAAGTGAAGGGAACAGTGCTTTCCATATAACACTCAAATGATGCTAGTTACCACTAACTGTTATCCTCATGGTGGAACTGACCTGATCTCTCTTTTGCTCCACTGTAGTATGTGCGCATACTTAATAAAAAAACCCAGTCCCAAACTTGGAATGGGACAGAACCTTTTTGCATGATGTAATTTCCAACCTCTTTCTGGGAAGAAATTAGCACTGATAAAATGCTTAAGCAATTTTCTGATAAACTTTAATGAGATTAAGACCTCTTCTGGGAAGCCAGATACCCACCCACTCAGCTGACTGTCAGTCAGGATCTAATGATCTCGAAACAATCCTTTTTTTTTTTTTTTTTTTAAATTGTATCCAGTCTAACAGTGATTATTTAATCATCCTGTTTATCTATAAAATTTTTATATAGGAGACAATCTCTGAATTAACCCACTAATGCTTCACTTCTTGTGATTTGCTTGAACTTAAACTTTGGCATATGTTTAAAAGTAAAATATCTGACCAGGCATAGTGTCTCATGCCTATAATCCCAGCACTTTGGGAGGGTGAGGTGGGAAGATCACTTGAGCCCAGGAGTTCAAGATCAGCCTGAGCAACATAGTAAGACCTTGTTTCTACTAAAAATACAAATAAAAATAAATTAGCTGAGCATGGTTGTGTAGTCCCGGCTACTCAGGAGAATGGGGCGTGACAATCACTTGAGCTCACGAGGCTATGGCTACTGTGAGCCATGATTACACCACTGCACTCCAGCCTGGGTGACAGAGCAAGAACCTGTCCCCCCAGAAATAAATATAAAACAAAATGTTTGAAAAAACAAACAAACCTATTATAGCATATAAAATAGCTGATAGCATTTATTTGTATTCTTAGTTCTAACATTCGTACTAGGGGAGGGACCCTGGAAAGTAAGGACCACACTTGTGATGCAGGATCTTAAACGAAATGATTTAGGCAGATAGCAAGGGTAAAAGAGTCTTCAGTAAGGCTTTCCTTTTAACAAAAAGCAGCCCCCAAATCATTTCCAACAAAGAGCAGCCTGAAAAATCAAGCTGCAGCCTGAAAAGGCAAGCTAGAATCTTGCACGGGTGAATGCCAGCAGCTGTGCCAATAGGAAAAGGCTACCTGGGGCTAGGCACGTTCAACATGGCGGCTCCATCTTCCCTTTTCTTTGCCAACCATGTGTACAGTAAGGAACAGACAATATGGTGCTGGCCAGGTAAAGAACCCATCTGCATACTAAAAGATCAGGGTTGGATGGCCAGCTTCTTCATGGACTATGTAAATGTCACACCTGCTCTGACCAATCTCTCGGGCCCTATGTGAATCAGACACCACCTCCTGAAGCTCGTCCATAAAACCCCATGCATTTCACCACGGAACTGGAAGACCCATTCAGGTGCCCCTCTCTCTCTCTGCAGGAGAGAGAGCTAGTCTCTCTTTCTTTTGCCTATTAAACCTCTGCTCTTAAACTCACTTCTTGTGTGTCTGCGCCCTCAATTTCTCTGGTGTGAGATGACAAACCTTGGGTATTTACCCCAGACAATGACACCACTTCATTTGTTTTTACTCATATTTTCATCTAGCACTTAATATTGTGACTGATAAAGAAAAGGTAATCAATAAATGTTTGTTAAGAGAATAAATTAATGAAAGAACAAATAAACTTTTAAAAAGAATTGAAAAAAGCGGCACTTACTGGGAGGACTCCCAGCACTTACTGGGAGGCTGCGTTATAGAGCACTACTGGCTTCGGACTCAACCCAGGGATTGAAACATGTTTTTACCTGTGTGGCTTGGGGAAAGTTTATCCACCTTCCTGCAGGTTCCAATTCTTCACAGCACTATGGAGAGAATAGTGCATTGTGAAGGTACTGTGAGTTGGGTTAACTTGTGCAGAGAGTAAAACACAATGGCAAGTACCTTTGGGCCTAAAGATATCTTAGGTCTCCTTCTTGCCACTGACTCTTTTTTTGTGATTGGAAAAGTTACTTCCTCTCCCTGGGCCTCAGTTTCCTCATTCTTAAATAATAATTTTTAAAAAAATCCCTCATGGGGCATGGCTCCTCTCTCACTGCCTTCACTCCCTGCAGCCACTGGTGGTATGCGCCCAGGTGTACCTGCCACTTCCCGCCAGGTCCTTGCTTTGTATTTGCACCTGCCCCCCTTTTGTTTGTAGTCTAAGTGACACGGGTCTCCCTCTCTTTCCTCCAGCTGCATCGCTCAATCCTGCAATGTGTCACTGTGGTGTGGAGCTGGCATTCTGGATGATGTGGCATGACCTCACACTGATGCCATTCCCCTCCCACCAAGCCAACCTGGCTTCCTCCTCCACCCATGGAATAAGCCAGAATGCTGAAAGTGGGAGGGAAATAGAGCACCAAGGTTAAGGAGGCAGTCCCTGACATTTATTAATGGAATTTCTGTTTCTATGATGAATGTAGAGATTTGAGGTGACTGCCTCTTAAGGTGATATGTAGGGAGATGATGAACCCCAGTGTTTTCCTTAATGATCCATCAGTTTAGAGGAAAACATACATATACAAAGTCAATATTGAAAAGACTGCATAGACCTACAGAGTAGAGAGGAGGGGAAACAGATGTGCTTGGACTTACAGCAGTGCAAAGGCTGCTGGAGCAGTGCCCTGAGCTGGCCCTTTAGGGATGGATAGGATTCACTCAGATTTGTGTGGGTGAATAGACAGAGCCTTCCAGGGCTCCAAAACTGATGGGGTTATGGTGGAATAGGGGTTGAAAACAAGAGAGAAAAAGAAAAAAAATCCCTCATGTGCCAGGGATCTAGTCAAGGTAAAATAAATACCTTTAAAAATACTTAAAAAAATAAACATCCAGGGCAGACTCTGGCTTTCAGCCAAGGTAGAGAAACAAAGACTGGATTTACCCTCGCGCCTGGAAAAATAAAAATACTAGACAATATAGGTGAAACAACAGTTTTCAAGACACCAGACATGAGGCACTGAAAGACAGTGACGCCTGAGAGATGAGAAAAAATAATGTGAGCTCAATTGCCCAAACTATAGCCTTGAGAGAGTATGTAGGCCATAGAGCAGGAAGGGGGAACTGAGGCACTAGCATTCTTCCTGAGTTGAAGAGACAGAGTTGAGCCTCCAGAGAGATCAAGGCAGTTAAAGTTCATAGGACAGAGCACCAGAGAGAAGAGAGAGAAAGAACTTCAAAGATCTGTAAAGGGCTCCCCCTCAAGTCATCATCAGAGTACTGATTAGTGCAAACATGTCAGGAAAATACCCAAAGCCAGGAAAAGAACCACCCAAAAAGGGGTAAAAGAAATAGTACTGAAGTAACCCTCATAGGGTTAACAAGAATTCTGGACAGAAATACAGTTATAATTAAGCATTAGTCAGGCTGTGCTTTGACCTACTTCCTTGTAACTGAAAGTTACAGTAGCACTAGATACTGACCACTTGCATCCCCATTATTCCAATAAGTAGGATCTCAGAAATTGCTTAAGTTGTTTTTTAGATCCTAAATTCCAGTAAAACACCTAATGCCAACCAGCTTGAAGACCCCCATAGAAGAAGTGAATCTCATGAGAATACAATTTCTTCATCACCTTGTCCCATGACTCTGATATAGGAGTTAAGAAGAAATTACTTAGGCAGATAGTGAGGGTATGGGAGTTCTGGGTAAGGTTTTGCTTTTTAATGAAAAGTAGCCCCCAAACCATTTTCTAACAAATAGCAGCCTGTAAAATCAAGTTGCAGACATAGATAAGAAAGCTGGAAGCTTACATGCATGCATGATTGCCGGCAGCAAAATACTGCCCGGGAATAGGCAAGTTCTAAATGGCGGCTCCATCTTCCCTTCTCCCTTTGCCAGCCACGTGTATAGTAAGGAGCAGACAAGATGGCCCTGGCCAAGTGGAAAGCCTATTTGCATAATAAGATCAGAGTGGGGTGATTAGCCTTCTCCCACCCCCGCTGCGCTATGTAAACATCACACATGGTTGAACCAATCTGTGGGCCCTATGTAAATCAGGCTCTGCCTCCTCAAGCCTGCCTATAAAATCTGCTGCAGTCCGCCACTCTTCCCTTTTTCGGACACCTCTCTCGCAAGAGAGAGGGAACTACCCTCCTCTCTCCTTTCTTCTGCTTATTAAACGTTCTGTTCCTTAACCCACTCCATGTGTATGTGTGTCCATGTCGTTAATCTTCTCGATGCAAGACGACCAACCCCGTGTATTTACGCCAGACAACGATACCGCTTCAACTTCACCCAGCGTTCTTTGACCAATCAACAATCTCCACACTTCAGCCCATTCCAAAGCCCTTAAAAACCCTAGTCCTAAACTTCTTGGGGAGGTAGATTTGAGGTTTCTGCCCATCTCCTCATTCAGCAGCCCTATGATTAAACCTTTCCCTGCTGCAATCCGGTATCTCAGTGTACTGACTTGCCATGCACATCAGGCAATGAACCTATTATGGTTTGTTCATGATGCTCACTTGGATCAGGAATAATGTTGTTCCCACTGGCCAGACTTGAAAATCTCACAATTCACAGAGCTAAAATATTGAGAAAGATCTTAATACTGTTCTAGACTACATATGAACCTAGTCCCACCTAACAATCTTATGAACAAGGTCCAACAGGGTCAAACTATTTCAAATATCTTAATTGAGCCCTTTAATAAAGCTAGAAAAAATTTAAAGGAATACAAGCATGTCCAGCACACAGGATAAAATTCACAATGTCTGACATTCAATACAAAATTACCAGATATGCAAAGGAGCTGTAAAATATGGCCCTATTAAGGAGAGAAAGCCAATCAATCCAAACTGACCCAGAACTTAGAATTAGCAGAGAAAGACAATGAAAAAGTTCTTATAACTGTATTTCATAGTTCAAAAAGTTAAGACATAAAAAGTAAGATATAAAAAGACTAAATAAAATGTCTAGAGATGAAAACTACAATATTTAGAATGTGTTAAATAAAATTTCTAAGAGGCCATTGGTTTGGACTGAACTCCTGCAGTAGGCCCAACAGACCAAACCAAAATGGAGTCACTCACACTGAAGTTCCACAGCACCAAGCTGAAACAAAGTTGTTTATCTGACCTTCCAAGAAATTGAGAGAGAAAGAGAGAGAGATAATAGTCAAATCTCCAAATAGGGAAGTTTTAGCCAGCATTATAAGAAAGTCCTCTCTGCTTTAACCTTTACAAGAAAAGTAACTTTGAAATGACCAATCTGCTTTTGTTATTTGGTTCTCTTTCCTGGGCCCTTCTGCCTATAAAGCCAACCACTCCTGCTCAGCTCATCAGAACACTCATTCTATTTTGTAGAATGAAGTGTCGCCCAATTCTAGATGGAAAATAAAAGCCAATTAACATCTTTAAATCAGATGTGTTGTAATTTTGTCTTTTTCAGATGAAAAATACACTGGATAGAATCCAATAACAGCAGATAAGATTTTGTTCCCTCCACCCTCCCCTATTTTCCAAAAGAGAATAAGGAATTTGAATACATAGTAATAGAGGCTATCCAAAAAGAAACACATAGAGAAAAAAAGAATTTTAAAAATGTACAGAGCAAAAGTGCACTGTGGGGACAATTTCAAGCAGCTTCTTCTATGTGTAATTAAAGTCTCCAGAGGAAAGCAGAGAGTTGGAGGACAGGAAAAAAGTGTTTGAAAAGAGAATAGCCAAAACGTTACTAAACTTGGTTTTTTAAAAAAACTATAAACCCACAGTTCCAAGAAGCTCAAGAAAACGGAAACATAAGAAATATGAAGAAAGCATACCAAGACATGTCATAATCAAATTGTTCGAAACCAATAATAAAGACATAATCTTAAAAGCAACCAGGGTGAGTGGAGGGGAAGACACATTACATGCAGAAAAAAAGTATAGAGATTATAGCAGATTTCTCATACAAAATAATGTAGGCAAAAAGACAGTGGAGCAGTATCTTTAAAATACTGAAAGAAAAAATTGTCAACCTGGAATTTTCTACACAGTGAAAATGCCTTTCTAAAGCAAGGGTAAAATAAAGACTTTTTCATACATACAAAAGCTAAAAAAAAAAAAATAATAGCCAGAAGGCCCATATTATAAGAAGTGCTAAAGGGCATTCTTCAAGCACAATGAAAATGATGCCAGGTGGAAATACGGATCTAGACAAAGCAATGATAGCTTTAGAAATGGTATTTGCATTTATATCTGTGTTTTAAAAGATAATTATACAAAAATAATAACAATATAATATGGGGTTTATAACATATGTAAACGTAAAATGTATGACGACATTATCATTAAGGTCAAAAGGAAAGAAATGAAAATGTACTATTGTAAGGTTTGTATACTATTCACGAAGTGGTATAATATCATTTGAAAGTAGACTTTGACATTACAGATACATATTATAAACCTGAGAGCAACCTGAGGTAATACTGGTAAAACAAATATAGGAAATACAGGTAGTTAACAAAGGAGATAAAAGGGAATCACAAAAATATTCAGACCAAAAGAAGGCAGAAAAAGAGGAAAAATTGAACAAATAAGAGATGAGATGAATAGAAAACAAATAGAAAGATGATAGATCTAAACCTAAACATCAATAATCACATTAAACATAAGTGGTCTAAACATTATAATTAAAAGGCACAGGTTGGGCCGGGCGTGGTGGCTCAAGCCTGTAATCCCAGCACTTTGGGAGGCCGAGACAGGCGGATCACGAGGTCAGGAGATCAAGACCATCCTGGCTAATACGATGAAACCCCGTCTCTACTAAAAAATACAAAAAACTAGCCGGGCGAGGTGGCAGGCGGCTGTAGTCCCAGCTACTGAGGAGGCTGAGGCAGGAGAATGGCGTAAACCCAGGAGGCGGAGCTTGCAGTGAGCTGAGATCTGGCCACTGCACTCCAGCCTGGGTGACAGAGCGAGACTCCGTCTCAAAAAAAAACAAAACAAAACAAAAATGGCACAGGTTGTTAGACTGGGTATAAAGAAAGACCCAACTATAAACTGAAACCTACTTTAAATATAAAAAATATGAAAATAAAAGGATCAAAAATATATACCAAGCTAATACTAATGAAAAGAAAGCTAGACTAGTTATATTAGTGTCAGACAAAGTAGATTTCAGAGTAAAAATATTACCAGGAATAAAGAGAAAATTTCATAATGATAAAAGGATCAATTCATCAGGAGGAGGACATAACAATTGGAAACTACTATATACCCAATAACAGAGCTTTGAAAAACTGGAACCAAAAACTAAACAATAAAGAGCCTTTAAAGCCATATATCTATTAAGGTAATTAAATATGTAGTTAAAAACTTTTCCATAAAGAAAATTTTAGACCCAGCTGGCTTCACTAGTCTAAATGGTAAATTCTACCATTTAAAGAAGAAATTATACTAATTCTACATGAACTCTTCTGGAAAACTGAAGGGAAGGGAATATTTCCCAACTCACTCCATGAGGCAGCATTACCCTGATACCAAAGCCAGACAAAAACATTGCAAGAAAAGAAAACTACAGACTAATATCCTTCGTGAATAAGATACAGAAATTGTAAATGAAATTTCAGCAAATAGAATTTGACAATGTTTTAAAAGGATAAAATATCATGACTAAGTGGTATTTATCTCAGGATTGAAAGGTTGGTTTAACATTTGAAAATCAGTGTAAGGCACCATATTAACAAGCTGGAAAAAAAAAAAAAAACAACTAGGATCATCCAAAAAGCATTTGACAAAATCAAACATCCATTTCTGATTAAGAAAAAAAAATGTATCAATAAATATCAGCTGGACATGGTAGCTTGCACCTATAATCCCACCTACGTAAGAGGCTGAGGCAGGAGGATCACTTGAGCCCAGGAGTTCAAGGCTACAGTGAGCTATGATTGCACCACTGTACTCCAGCCTGAGTGACAGAGCAAGACCCCATCTCTAGGAAAAAAAAATAACAGAAAACAAAAGTAAGCTTGGAATAGAAAGAAACTTCTTCAACCTACTAACATGTACAAACAAACCTATAGCTAACATCATATTTAATGATGAACAACTGAATGTTTTTCTTCTAAGATCAGAAAAAAAGTCAAGGCTATCCACTCTAACTACTCCTATTTGACATTGTCCTGAATGTTCTAGCAACTGCAATAAGAAAAGAAGTAAAAAGCATCTAGATTGGAGCAGAAGTAAGACTGCCCTTATTCACAGGCACCATGATTATCTATGTAGAAAATACAGTGAAATCCCCCAAAAGCTACTAGAACTAGTAAGAGAGTTGTACCACGTTTGCGACGTGTAAGATCAACATATAAATATTAATTGTATTCCTACTTACTAGCAACAATAGGAAATTGAAATAAGAAAAGCTACTGACAATAACACCAAAGTATATGAAATGCTCAGTAATAAATACAATAGATGTGCAAAATCTGTTTTAAGAACTATAAATAGTGCCAGAAAATTAAAGATCTAAATAAATGGAGAGATACACCATGTTCATAGGTTGGAAGACTGTTGATATGTCAATTATCCCCCAAATTGATCTGCAGATTCAATGCAATCCCAATCAAAATCCCAGCACACTTTTTTTTTTTTTCTTTTTTTTGAGACGGAGTCTCGCTCTGTCACTCAGGCTGGAGTATAATGGCATGATCTTGGCTCACTGCAACCTCCGCCTCCCAGGTTCAAGCAATTCTCCCTATCTCAGCCTTCTAAGTAACTGGGACTACAGGCACACACTACCACGCTCCACTAAT